AATATATATCTCAGTTGTATATTTTATTTGATATTTATCTCTATTTTATGTACGTTTCAAATCTGATGATATTAATATGTTGTACACCTGAGTGTATCTATTTAATTCAATATTCAAGCATCTAGTGAGTTCACACTAAAACTAGCAGTTAAATTGCCATTTTGAAATTCGTCTATAAGAACTCGAAGGATGCATCTACTGAAATTTTGATTGATCAACAGTTTAATTTACACATTACTGAATCAATGTATTTAATAATTTCTCAGAGAAACATCTTCACCTTTTGAATAATTCCAAAAAGAGAAAATCGGGAATGAGCCATTTTGATGCGTCTGGTAGTTTCAGTGTTAAATGGTAAGAAGATGCGAGGAAACGGCCGAGAGAAGGTCTAATGACACGGGAAACATCATTCCGCGATCGCAACAGGGAAATACGAAAGAGATTTCCCAGAGGAAGGCGGGAATTGCTCGAGCGTGATGATAAATGTTTTCGAAATCCGAGGAAATTTGTCTTCGTCCCCCAGTCGATGTTCGTTTTCTCGTTGAAAAAATGGTTTCCCTGCTGCCGCGCGTAGGCGGGATTCAATTATTCAAATGAGTCCATCCGAGTCGTATTACACTGGAAGGTGTCAGACTTTCGGAAAGTTCTTAACGAGTTTCCCAGCGCCGAAGAACGGCGGCGGCGTACAATTTTTAACGATGCGCCAGAGAGGCCGCGGTAACGGTTTTACCCGGCGCTCCTGTTTCCGGTTCAGATGCCGGAGGACGTCGTTCGTCTTCCTGCGGAACTCGCCCGCGGTGGGCTCGGTTGGGGGATCGATGATGTTAGCCGAGATCATAGGCGAGTCTGTTCTGCTCCTAAGCTGGCTACATAGTCTACGAAATTAATTGCTGATGAGACCATTATTGGCTTGTCCGTAACTATTCGAAGTTGGTTTTGCGTCATATTTGGTGTATTGATTCGACGACAGTCACCATGAAATGTCTGCATGTAGGAGTTAGGTCCGGAGAAAGTGTGAATGAATTTGAGTTTGGTGTGGTTGACGTTTGAATGGATGGAGGTTTCGTGTGGGAAAAGTGTGATTTTATTTGGACTAGGTCTGGGAAAAGTCGGATTCGCTTTGAGTTGAATCCGAAAGATTTCTGAATCGGTTTGGGTTAGATGTGGGAAAAGGAGGAACCATTCTGAATTATACCTAGGAAAAGTATGATTAAATTAAAGGTATATCTGAAAGATGTCTGAATCCATTAGGGTTAGATCTGAGAAAAGTTTGAATTATTCTGAATTATACCTAGGAATAGTCTGATATTGTTTGTATTAGATCTGGGAAAAATCTGAACCATTCTGAATTATGCCTGGGAAAGTCTGATTAAATTAAAGGTATACCTGCAAGATTTCAGGATCAGTGGGGTTCGATCTGAGAAAAGTTTGAATTATTCTGAATGATGCCTGGGAAAAGTCTGAATCATTCTGAATGATGCCTTGGAAAAGTCTGATCGTCTTGTGTCAGATCTAGGAAAATTCTGAACCATTCTGACTGATTCCTGGTAAAAGTCTGATTTCGTTCGCGTTAGGCCTGAGAAAAGTCTAAATTAATTCGACTTAGATCTGGGGAAAGTTTTAATTAACCTGGGTTAGGCCTGGGAAAAGTTGAAGCAAACAAGTTATATTTCGGTGAAACCTAAATCGCTTTTAATTAGTTTCACCTTTAACTTACCTACGGAATATATCTCTTCTCCTACACAGTTCTACCAATCAAACATCTCACTTTAAAAACATCCACGTAGCAGTGAAATGTCTCCCATCAACTGGAAAGCTCCGTTATGTTAAAAACGAGATCACGATACAAATAATTCCTGTCAACAAAACTCGTCTCCGTTTACTACGCAAGTATACACGCGACATAAATGCATAAGGACTCTCTCGGTCCATGTACATGACCCACTTCATTCCGCGGAGCCAGCCGTCTACCTCGGAATAATAGTCGCCCTCAAAAAACAACTTCAGAATCTAATTACCGTGCAATTGCAGTTCACAGTTACGTGTGCCGCGGCTGACGCGAAATTATCGAAACAATTTTCCGGGCAAGTTGATCGGAAGCTCACGGTCGGATGGAAGCATCGTAACGGTTAGCTTCCGGCAACTTGCACCGGTTCCGTCGGCGCGTGAACTTTCGGCTCTCACGGCTCGGGTCAAACGCGGGATAAACTCGGTACACCGATACTATTGATTTTGCGACGGCCGGGGAAAGAAGGGCGGCGGAGAAAGTGGAGGATAGGTGAGGTCAACCTCCTTTTCAGGCACGTTACCGTTAAACTGGCTTATGCCGGCTTATCCTTTAACGTCTGCTGCACAAAAAATGCATGTTTAACTGGTCGGACTTTTGTTGCTCATAACGTCTCTTTAGCTGTCCGGATATTGGATACTTTCGAGCCTCGCTCTTTCCTTAAAGGAAAATTGATAAGTTACTGCGTTGGCAGAACGTTCTCGATTTTTTCACTTTATTAGCATTATATTTCAATATTCCTGCATTGAACGTTTGGAGTTTTGTTGTTCACTTCAAACAGTTTTTTATTTGTTGCGCTTCTTCCGAACAGAGCATCTAAAATATATTCTGATTATCATTACTTCTACGAAAACACTAAAATAAAAATCTCTCAAATGATAAGGATTCCATGAAGTAGCCAAAGGGTTAATTTGAATAATCACTGAGTATAAAATTTAATTTATTGAAAGATAACTATTGATAGTTTACATTCTACTAAGTAAATTTTAAAAAATCCAAAGACACATTTGTCTTAGTATTATTCTCACAAAAATGGTACTTTCAAGTGACTCCCAAGAAAAATAACTATTTACAGTTTAAATCCTGCTAAGTAAAATTTAAAAAACCCATAGCCATTTTCCTCGTAATACTATTCTCACAAAAATGGCACTTTCAAGTGACTCCCAAGAAAAATAACTATTTACAGTTTAAATCCTGCTAAGTAAAATTTAAAAAACCCATAGCCATTTTCCTCGTAATACTATTCTCAAAAAAATGGTACTTTCAAATGATTCCCAAGAGAAATAACTATTTACAGTTTAAATCCTGCTAAGTAAAATTTAAAAAACCCATAACCACTTTCCTGGTTATACTATTCTCAAAAAAATGGTACTTTGAAGTGACTCCCAAGAAAAATAATTATTTACAGTTTAAATCCTGCTAAGTAAACTTTGAAAAAGCCAAAGACACTTTCCTCGCAGCACTATTCTCACAAAAATGGCTCTTTCAAGTGGCTTTTAAGAATAACACGTGTATAAAGAGGACATTGAGACAGTGTGGCCGGGAAGTACAGCGTAACGCGCGACCCAGTTGATAATACAACCGTCGGAAATTCTTCCGTCTTAAACGCAGCGTCCATTATCGTTGCAAGTCACCCAAGGAAAACGCAACGAAGCGATCCTACCTGTAAGTACCTGCGTGATACACGATAGGGAACCTCCAGGAGGTTTCACGTGCCATTTCCAGGGACCACTGAGGATCCTATCCAGAGGTGCACTAAATGAAAACGTTCCCAAGAAACTTGACCGCAATTGCACGGCCCCGAGAGCCGTGCAATTTCTTTCCCAGTGGTCCTGGAAAATTGCACACGAGCGATAATTAAACGACGCTGTTCCTGACTTCTGATTCCTTAGTTCTCCACGTGTCGTGGAAAGAAGATCCCCGGAGATCTTCGTTACTAAAGCTTTCGAATTTCTTTAATGGTGCTTGCCAAACGAGAATTTTTTACCCTTTCATGTGAAATGTATTGTAGATACGAGGTTGACGTTTGTTTCGCAATTTTTGGAGAATTGAAATGGCACAAAAGGACCGAGTTATGAATAATTTTGGACACCCCTTTTGTTGGAGTGTTGAGTGCTGTTGGAAATATTTGTATGGATTTGGGACTTTTTATGGAAACAATTCCTGCACGCCGGATTAAAAATTTTATTGGGGAATATCGATCTAATATTCAGCTGTGCTTCCCGACTGTTGGATGTGGAAATGTAAAATGGCGTAGTTGTTTAATATTTGTGAAACGCGTAGGTAAACTGTGGATTATTCTAAAAATGGGTTAGAATCGGAGATCCTTCTGTAAATAATTATTATATGAAAAATATTTTACTTTTCTGTGGGTTTGTACAGAAATTGTAATGAAAATTATTAACAGTCAACCCAAGAGAAAATTAATAGACAGAATAAGTTTTTTCTTACAGAATTCAGAAAGTTTGAATTCCTTGAAACCTTCCCGCTGATAAATCACTTTAGACAATTTCGAAATTGTTTAGGCGAACGTTCCTTGTTACTGAACGATCAAAGTTGCTCGCCTTTAAATTATAACGACGTTAGGTACGCCAAGACGGGGTATCTTATTGAATAAGGAGGAAGAGCGGTTGTTTGCGGCGTTGAATTCTGCCACGAGATTATATCCAGTAAATTTTGTAGGCAATATTGTTAGGGAACTGTAGTGTAACTATATTAATTCTGAATTCCTGGGTGGTACGGTTAATTGTAAGCTGCAGCATCGAAACTTCATAAGGAATTTATACTTGAGACAACTCCAAACTCCAACGACGGAACGTAGAAGATTTCAATCGAGAGTCGAGCTTTAACAATGAACAAATAAATGTAAAAGAATCTTCGAAAAAATTCATGTATGCGTCGAGCTACTTCTTCGCCACCGTCTGTACTACTTTAGGAAAAGAGTATCGATCAAACTGAATCGAGGAACCTCGTATCTCGCAGTTATCTCAGCAAACTTCAACTCGAATACATAAATTCATGGAGTAGAAGAAATCTCACCGCGTTTCCAGTAAATTAGTCAAATGACTCGACTCCCGGGAAAGGAAAAATCAATGTCGAGTTGTCGGCAAGTGAAATTCACTACGGAATACCAGAAACACTTCGGAAAATACAAAACAAACACAAACATCTGTACCAAAAGATATTCATAAGTTTTCCTCGAAATTTAATAAGAATGGCAGACGAAGAGGACCTCGAAGAGTTCGTAGACACTGAGGAACCAGAATCTGATGATTCAGTCACTCCAACTGAATCAGAGAATCTAACGAGCCACGAAAAATCCCGGACTACAACTGAAAGATCTAAGACAGAATCTATAACCTTAACAAGTGCAGCAAGTGTAAGACAAACAAGTGCCACAGTATCTCAAAATGGCAAAAAAGGTCTCGAAGCATTGGAAGAGACGTCCAAAAGTGACGAAGGCATCATCAGATCCCAGGGAATTTCAAAAACTAGCAAGCAAAGTTCCCTAGACCAGCTGGCAGAGAAAGTATCAGTTCAGAAATCAAAGTTCGCTAAGTGTTATCGCCAGTGCAATCGTCAATTTCGAGAGATAATTGGCAAAAGAGAGATGAGGAATGAGGAACTGGAAAAGCAACAGGGTGATCTTCGAGAACGTTTGAACATATTGGAGTGTTCCATGCCAGCAGTGATGGTTTGGAACGTTTGGAGGATGACAAAGGGAACTGGGGTTCCCAGCCTGAAGAAACTTTTGGAGAAGCAGTTCGAGGGACCTGCTGCAGGGGAAGAGTACTGTCCGAGTACTCCCAGTCGACACTTCGACTGCAGAGTCAGAGAAGCTGAAGCAGAGAGGAAGCAAGCGTATAAAAGGACTGAAGAGGCTAGGACACTTTGGTCTCAGAAGATGGCTACCCTGGAGGAGAAGGAAAAGAGGGTGCAAGAGGCGAGGAAGCTTCAAGAGGAGCAGAGGAAGAGGATCGAGCAGCTGACCAGCGAGGCGCAGAAGCTGAGGGAGGCTAGAAAGGCTGCTGAGGATGACGGCTCTTGCGAAGCTGGTAACTCTTACTTCGTTCTATCCATTTTTTTAGTACCCTGTCACTAAAAAGTGAAGCCAAACTGTTGCAAAGAATGTCAAAGTTACTCTCAACCCCTAATTGGATAGGAGAATGCAGTGTCCTGGAGTGTAAGAAGAAATGGCTGGAGAAGGTACCCAGCAGTGGGTCAATCAAGTCCACAGACGTCGAATGTCTGGAGAAGCTGCAGGAGCTAGCAGAAGCGGAGCTGAGCATGAAAAGGCAGATCGCCGATTTGGAGCGTCGAGAGGGGGCTTACATGAGGACACTCCAGCAGGCGGACGAGCTCTGGGCGAAGCTGGAAGAGGACGCAGCTAGCTCTATGAGCGGCCTGCAGGAACAGCTGGGAACGAAAACCGCGGCGAATCAACAGATGGCGAATCGCATCTGTCAGTTAGAGGATGAGCTGGAGAAACTAGGGTCCAGGTTGGCGACTTGCAGGAACGAGCTAGAAAAGTATCTGAGCAGAGGCAAGATAGAAGCTTTGATAGGCAGGGATGACGACTTTGCTACTGTCAGTGACTCAGCAGCAGTGGCAGGAGTCAGGAAGAAAGACACTACGACGCCAACTCAGTCAGACATGGTGGATGAAATAGAGGCACTAAAATCGAGATTAGCCACTTGTAGAAGCGAGCTAGAGAAGTACCTGAGCATAGGCAAGATAGAAGCTCTAATTGGCAGGGATGACGACTTTGCTACTGTCGCTGATACATCAGCTGTTGCTGGTGTCCCAACGAAGGACACTATGATGTCAGCTCATCCGGACATCCATGATACTGGACTAGGCATTCGCCCAGAAGATTTTGCAAGAGAAGAAGCTGAAACGGAAGAAGTTAGGAAGTTGCTGGCTCAGTTGGGCTCTTTGTCTGAGTTGGATGATCCAGGGAGATTTTGCTCCCCAGATTTTGATTGCAATGATCTGCAGTTATCTACTACAGGATTGACGGAGGAAGAGAAGTTAGCTCTACAGGAAAATCGCGTCACTGCCAGGGAGCTGCTGGAAAAGTGTGGCTTGCTTGAAATTGCTGAGCAGATGACGGATGAACCTGTGCAATATCGGATGGTAGCCAAATCTGAAGCTTCCGAGAGTTTTGTTGCTACTTCGGCCAGGGAGACTTTGCCATCTAGGACTGCGACAGAGGAAGATTTGGAAGATGAAAGATTGGAAAGAGAGGTCTTCTATGAGGATATTGAACCTGGGAAGATTGAAGGTGACGATCAGCTGAATGATAAGAGGAAGCTTAAGGAAAGTAGCATGGTTTCAGAGAAAATGGAGAATGCCTCGGTACCTTTAGATCAACTATCGAATTGGCAGAACATGGTGCACTCTATTCGTTCGAAAATAGCAGTACGTATTTTGTAATGGTTAATATTACAAATTACATTGTAAAAATGTTTAAACACTGTTTTCTCGATTAGAATTGTCCAGACTGCAGTGTCCTAAAGGAGGATGCACGAATCCTTGCAGAGGAGCTAGCAGCATACACTGGTGTAACTGATAAAATTATTATCTATGGTCTACTATAATTAGCACTCTTGAAACTCGTTTAATAAATTAGTTACACGAATCTTCTTGTCATAAAGCGCTCGTAAAAGGAATCTCACTGAGAAATTACCGAGTATCAACCAAAATTTCGTTCCACAGAAAAAGATGAAAATTGAGGTAGAAGAGGAAGTATTCTTGGAAGTTAAAGACGACGAGAGGAATGAGTTGGCTGAGAGGGAAGTTGAAATGAAATTCGTCACAGAAAAGGCTGCCGAGCCACTATCCGGCGAGATGGAGAAAGCGGCGGAGGGGGGCCAGATAGCTCCAGAGGTAGAACTTGAACCGCGCGAGGCGAAAAAAGAAGTAGAGGAAGCTCGAGCAACGATACCAGAACCTAAGGGATCAGTTATCGAAGCGAGGCCACTTGCGGAGGTCGTAGAAGGAGGTGCTGAAGAGCGTATGGAACGGGATCCCAGGACACCACTTCCGGAGGATATCGTTGAAGTGAATGATGAAGTGAAACCTGAAGTAGGTGGTAAAGCAATGGAATCGCCGACGGAGATCGCAGACGACGTTCGGGAACTGCCAGTGACCGAGGAAAAGAAAGCTGAAGTCGAAAAGAAAACTACTGAAGAGACATTGCCACCTGACATTGAAACTAAGGTGCAGAAGACAGCAGATGCAGTTCTTGAAGAGAAAGCAATTAAGCCTAAAGTTGTGGAAGTAGAAGGAACGATTAAAGAAAAAGAGGTGATAATTGATAAGGAATTAGGAAAGACAGAAGATTTGGTAGAAAGGAAGGAAGTGAAAAAGGAAGTGATCGGTAAAGAAAAGGAGATAGAAGTTGATGAGGTAGTGAAAGTGGAAAGGAAAATGGATGAATCTCTAAGAGAAGAGGTGGAAAAGACAGTGAAACTAGAAAAAGAAATAGTGATAGAAGAAGAAGTTAAAGAAGCAAAAGTGAAGGAGGCTAAAGAGGAATTGAGAGACAAAGAAGCTGAGGTTGAAAAAGAAGAAATACCAGTTGATGAAAGAGTTGTATCGGTGAAAGAAGTAATTGTAGAAGTTGAAGAAAAAGAAATGTCAGAAGAAAAGGAAATAAAAGTAGATATAATCCCAGAAAAAGAAATAACAAAGGTTGAAGAGGAAGTAATTTCAGAGAAAGAAATAGAAGTAGATGTAACTCCAGTAGAAGAAACATTGCAGCCTGAAGAAGAAGAACTAGAAGTAGTTGTTGCTCCTTTTGAAGAAATAGAGAAACCTGAAGAAGTTATACCAAAGGAAGAACTAGGAGTAGTTGTTGCTCCCATTGAAGAAATAGAGAAACCTGAAGAAATTCTACCAGAGGAAGAACTAGAAGTAGTTGTTGCTCCTATTGAAGAAATAGAGAAACTTGAAGAAATTCTACCAAAGGAAGAAGAAATTAAAGTAACCACAACTCCAGCAGAAGAAATACCAAAGACTGAAGAAGAAGAAATGCCACCAGAGGAAGAAGAAATAGAAATACCTATAGTCTCGATCGAAGAAATAGAAAAACTTGAAGAAATACCACCTGAAGAAGAAGTAGATCTGATTCTGACCGAAGACACAATAAAACCAATAGAAGAAGTATTACCTTCATCAGAGGAATTAATAATTGTTGTAATACCATTAGAGGAAGCAGATGCTGAAGAGGAAATAGATGTGGAAGTACTAGAGGCGGAGAGAGTAGAATTTGAAGTGAAGGTATTAGAGGAAGTAAAAGTGACTCAGTTAGAAGTCGAAATTGAAATTGGAAAAGTCGAAGTACCCGACGAAATAAAAGAAGAAAGGAAGGAACCCCCTCCAAAAGAAGAGGAGATTGAAATCAGCATTGACGAAGAATGTGTCTGTGATGAGATTCCCGGTGTAGAAGCTCCATTAGAAGCGGAAGACCTTTTTCCCTCAATGGCTGAAGAATTTCCTGATCCAGTCAAAGCAGAACAGCTTACACCCATTTGTACTTGCATGCCGGAACCCCCTATTGTTAGTTCTCAACCTTCAAAGTGATTTCCTTTATTGCAGAGACGATAATGTAGCATTTATTTACAGGCGCCAGTGGAGAAAATAGAACGAGAAGAAACAGAGAAGTCGAAACATCCCTCAGTTACAGTATATTATCAATTTCTAGTATTTCAGTTACTGACAGTCTAATCATGAGTATTTCATCTGATTCTCATCTCATATAGTTCTATTTTAGAGCTAATATTTCATCCAATAGAGGCCTAGTGATATTTATTTCTACATTTATTATCAGCAATTTTTTAAACAGTTCCACAAGCGATTCTAGAATCACATTAATTTATATAATTCCGAGTTGACACTAGTTACTATTGATAAACTGATTGAGAAATACACCTCAATTTCTTTGATTAATTACTGCCTTCTCACCAGAAGGGACACCTAAAGATGGAAGTCACTCAAACAGAGCCCACTCAAATGGAAACCAGCAAAGTCACCACCCAAGCAATAACCCAAACAGTAGTTGACATTGGGATGCAAACGCAGCCATCGGCAAAATTGCTTAGACACCCGCAGCAGCCCAGAATCGTCACCAGAATTATTGACCCAGAACCAGAGATTCTAGAGCGTCTAACTCGCTGGAGAGAATCCCAACAGCCTACCACAACCACTACCACTGCCACGTCTCAGACAGAGAAGTCCAGCTTCCTTCGAATTCTTCAAACCCTAAGATCAAGCGGAGCTTACTCTAAGCTTGAGTCTGAGAAGGAACTGAAATCCATTCATTATCAGAAGATGAAGAGAACTGCGGAGGCAGAGGCACGTTGCAACTGTTGTTTATGTGGGAAAACAGTGCCAGACACTATTCCATGTGAAAAGCCACTGGAAGCTCAAACTTCATCCGTGATGAGACTATTACAGGCTTTGCCCCTCTTGGGCAAGGCTGCGCCTGGAGTGGACCAGGCTGTGCAGCATGAATCATTTTGTCCTGAATGCAAGCTCAAGAAGCTTGGGGTAAGCGTGGAATTACAGAAGCGTTGTTTGAATGGAAATAATTGTGTTAAAAATATTTAACTTGTATGTTTTCTGTTGAGTGATATTCATTTTGAAAGGATGAATAAAGTCTTAGGGGTGGGAAATATATTTGGTGCAATATCTTAGAAGCTGCTGGGATTAGAAAAAGTTATAAACAATAAAATTGTATATTTTCTGTTAGTTTCAGCCAAAGGTGACTCAGACCACTCGTGATCAAGAGGTGAACGTCTGTGGACCAACAATGAAGAGACTCTCAGCTACGAGACCAAAACAGAAATCAGATGAAAGTTGTATGGCGAGAATCAGGGTTGAAAAATTTGTGCAAAGGGAGTTAGTGGTTCAGAAGATGAGTGTAACGAAGAGTGTACAGGAAACAACAGTCGCTACGTCAGTAAAGGACGCAGAGGACACAGTTGAGGATGAAAAGGAGCAGGAAGAGTATAAAGACTCAGTGGACTGCATGTGTAGCTCAATGGGGAGTGAGACTGGTGGTGGGAGGAGAGTGCGTTGTGGATGTGGAGATCCTGATTGATCTGCATACAAAGGCTACTGCAGGAGGGATAGAGGATTGGAAGAAGACGAGACGAAAATAAGGACACTCTGGTGAGTAGTATGAAACATGTATCAATGTAAATATTGGTTCACTCGTATATTAGAAACAATGTCTTTAATTTCGTTCATAGAAGACGTCCTATTTCAAATATAGCAATAAACAATTGCTATGTTGTTAAATAGTAGAACTGGGTTTTTGAAAATAAGAGAATATAAAGTGTTACTGTTTTTCTAGAAGTAGTTTAGACTGTATAGCGTAATTTATACCTAACACAAGCCACAACAAACTTGTTCAAACCACTTTATACTACTACATATTACTGTATACTACTCCATACCATTGCATACCACGTCATGTTACGCCATATAACTCTATATTGTTCTATATCACTCCAGTTAGATCTTGTTTAAAGTGATGTGAACTTGTATGACCTGGTATGAACTAGTTTGAATTGATTTGGGCTTTTCTAGGTTTAAGTTGATCTATGTTGCACTGGAATAGAGAAATATAAACTATTATGAAGTTGTATAGAGTGGCATAGAGTAATCTACGATGGTATATGATAATGTAAAGTGGTAGGAACTGGTTTGATGTGGTTTGAAATGGTTTGAACTGCCCAAAACTGCTCTGGAAAGCTTCGTGTTGGTCAGTGCTCAATAACTCACCACTGACAAGACTTTAATAATGGCCAATTTCCTATCCATTGCCTCGATTCACAAGTGGAAGAAAGGTAGCAATGAAAGGGTAACACTCGGGGCACATGAAGAGTGCAACCGAGATATGAAGTATAGGGCAGAGTGGCGGCTTCTGCTCATGCGACCACAAAGATAGAATCGCAGATGGACACAACAAAGGAAATGGTATGTAATTTCCAATAATGTGGCCGTCTCAATGGTACTCCTCTAAAATCAATAGCACCGACCTATTGTACAATAGAACGGGCGGCTCTTTCAAGCGACAGACACATAATAGGATCAAGCATCGGCGTCAAATTAAATTTCAGCTTTGGCTTAGCCAAAAATCATCCGTCCTATCCAATTACCTTGCCACTGAAGTCGATACACAAACTTACGACTATCTAAACAGTCCAACATGCACATGCCTTATAGTTAACATTAATAATAATTTCTGAAAATATTATTCTGTCGTACCCTAATAAATTTACTAAAAATATTAAGAGTATAAAACTGTACAAATTATTGTGTTCTGTGGAATATTTATAAAATATTCAGTAAATAGAAGTGAACAAATTTGTCACATTTGTAAGAGTTTCATAAAGTAATGTAAATGTTAGTCATTTATCTTGATCAAAATTTGTATAGAATATTATAGAAATGAATAACCTATGCTTTGTAAAATCTTTGCAGAAAAATTACAGAGAATTGTTTAAATCAGTCACTTGTGCTTTGTACGATTTTTATGAATTATATTCAATAGAATTCATTGGAGTATCGTTTATACAATATTATAAATTTCGTCGATGGCAAGAGAAACACTGGAAAAGAATAATATTTGACTCGACGTTTCCCTCGAACATTATCTCGGTGGAACAGTTCGCAGCGATTTGCACATTAATAGACCGGCAGTCGTTCGAAGGAGGGTCGCACGCATATGTCAGCATCTCCATGATTCACAAGATTTCGTTACAGCATAGATCACGGGCACGTGGTGCTTTTGGCACCGGCTTATTACAATTTGTCGCCGAAGTGAAATAAGACAGACTCGAACAGACATCTGCTCAAACTTGAAATAATCAGATAGCTCCAACGAAACTCTACACATTCATGATTTCTATTCACTTAATTGTCTCCTATTTTCAATTATGCAAAATTTCATATCTGTTACAGACATTAGAGTGAAAAATATTAATATTCGAATATTAAAATATTTCTATTAAACCTGTTTTAATTCCTCGGATTAAAAACAATAAAATTCAGAGTATTAAAATATTTTTACTGAATCCGTTTTTATTGATAAAATAATTCCTACTTTTCTTTGTTAAGTGAAATTTCATTTATTATTCCATTAAAAGAATAATTTATTAGAAATGAATTGCTTTTAATCTGGATTTTCACGGTGCAGTAATTACAGGAATTATTTTTATTATTTTAATGAAAATTTATTCAGAGTTTAATCCGTTGTTAAATGAAAATATAAAAATGAAGTTTATTCAGGGAAATTGCTTCGGATTAACGGTGATTGTTATCGTCGAGAGTTAAATGCGTCGAAAAGAAAATTCCTAGTTCACGCACGCCTGAACGGTGATTATGGAAACAGTGAATAAACAATCTGTGCCCTCGCCGTGCAGTCTCATTGGATATCTGACTGATCAATACTGCGAGCAACAAGTACTACGCGACGTAAGCTACCACAATCAATCATTTCACAACAGTCGAGCACAATCTGGGCTGTTGCTTATGGACTATTTAACACTCAATGTTCATAATTTATTCTGGGAATCCCAGGGCAGCGTAGGGGAGTGTTTAGAAAACAAATTCGAAACTTCAGTTTTTCCATGAAGTTACTCGCACAGCCATTAATCAGGCTTCGTAACAGAAAATAATGAATTTAACACCTGTGTACCAACAAATTGGACATTATCTAGGTCACCGAATAAAAACAAAACATTTGTATAATACGACAAAGAATAATTAGCAGAATACAATATTCAATTTAATTTAATCTATTTAAAGCTAGTTTATTCAAATATTTCACATAACAATACAAAGTTTAATTTCAAATACTAAGTATTCAACTTCATAGTTTTGCTGTGTTAATCCTTTGCACTGAAATGTTTCTCACTAGAAATATTTAACATATTTTAACACAAAGACAATATTCTTTAGAGCTAAGTCGAAGGAAAACCACAAGTACATTGAGGAACAAAGCTATTTTATTCCAATATTTCACGTATCGATGCATTATACAAAGTTCAACGTTAAATATCAAAATTTATAACTATACTGCATCAAATCAAGTGATGATTGAAAGTCGCCTTCCCAGTGTAAAGGGTTAATATATCATTCGTAACTTCTTGTGAATTTTAATGTGAATTTAATATATAATTTTCAACTTCTTACGGATTTTAATGTGACGTTCAACATTAAATATCAAACTTTATAATTTTACTGCATCAAATCAAGTGGTGACTGAGAGTCACCTCCAAAGTAAAAAGGGCTAATCATTGATCATTGATCCATTGTTTTCCACACTTGTTATATTCCTTAAAGAACACATATTTCACATATCCCTTACCATATAACATTCTTTACATCGATAGAAAACTGTGCTTTGTGTTTCCACGAAAGATTGTACAATAGTTTACTCACCGAACGTTGGCTAGAGTGTGCCTCCGTGATCTCAGGTTGTGGTATCCACGCAGCTCACCGATGCTCCCCTGTTCGGCCTGCATCTTGGCCTGTGCAGTCGCGGCTGCACTGGCGATCACGTGGTGTTGGTGTGCCGGTGCACCTGCTGTTGTGATGCTTCTGCGCGATCGCCAGCCCGTTCTGCTGCCGCCGCCGCTGCTCGGGGTCGGCGATTTCTTTTGGTACGGCCTGTGAAACCCATTCGCCGCCATCGCGGTGCGAATTAACCGTCGACAATCTCGTCTAACCATTCACTGCCAGTTCGTTCCCTTCCCCTTTCGTGTCGATCCTCTTTTTCTATGCTTCCAATTTATTTTTCAATCGACCCTTTCGTCGATCTATTTCAACCCTTATCGGACTTTAGCTTTTTATACATGATTCTCGGTAGGTTGCAGTTGATTTCGGTAAATATGCGAAAATTTCGATGTTAATTGCTCCGTTGCTGATGCTTAATTGACAAGGAAATCGCTCCCACATTTTATAGACAGCGATTTTCGACAGGATCCATTTTGTCGCTTCTCACGTGACGTACGATTGTTACGAACAAAGTATTGTTGTCACGTGAGAGGTGACTTACTGTTAAGGGTTCAAAACTACAGTGCCACTAGAATAACTGATGAGTTTTGAGGAGAAACTTTAGGCAGCGCAGAAATTAATTAGAAATGTATAGACTGCTGATTAGCGTTTAAGTTGTCAGCCATAAGCAGAGATCCTTACAATTTTCCTTTTTCTTTGAGTTTTCTAGTTTTTGGTCATTTATGTTAGTGGCACCTATGTGTACCATAGGACGAAGGGTTAAGGGTTAAATAACACCACTTAGGGACGTCTCGAATATAAGTGAGATTTAAGAATTTATTTTTTAATTACTATTAAGTGGAAACTTCTTTTTTTCGTGTATAACTATAACCTGATTTATATAAATTACCGTTAGAAAGGTGAGATGGATAATAAACAATATGAGAAATAAATAAAGAATAAATAACGAATAAACAGATTTGTAGGATTCGATTGAACTCGGGACTGACTCTAAGTTTAGGTCAAATCTAAATGCTACCCTTGAAGTTCAGGTCAGATCTAAATCAAGAGAGATTGTAATGTCAATGACAGCGTCTGCAGGCTGCATAACGGGTTAAACTGACTCGAATGTGTGTGGAAGCTTAATTAGAGACGTTGGTTGGGCTTAGGTACATGGTGCACGTATTGATGAGGATTTATGATGATTAAGATGCAGCCGATGGATATCGTGGATGATCTATGATTAATGTACTGGAAATTGGGGATGATGATGATCCATATTCGAAGGTTTCAATATGGTGGGGTAGTAGATTGAAGTGGAGTTAGAGGATTTGTGGTTAGCTGCTTCCTGAAGCACTGCTATATTATTCATTTAATTTTTTCAACAATTATTCTTTGCTAAAAGTAGTGAGTAATGTTTCTTAGTGGTTAATAGCAATTTTGAGATGTGTTCTATTTTTTTTTTAAACTTGGATAAGCTCTCAGTAGAAAGAAATTTGAAGAACACTGGTTGAATCATCAGTGCTAACTCGTTAGAGTATGTGTACTACAAAATGATCGCATTTAAATAATATAATATTCCTATATCATTCGAAA